CTTTAAGTACTGTTTGACCTTCCAGTAGGCAAACATTCACTCCTATTTTATAGATGTAAGAGAGGAAAGTCAAAAGACATGTCTAATATTGCACCAAAGAACAATAATAAAAAAATATGCCAGGTGTGGTAGCTCACGCCTACAATCCCAGCACTTTGGGAGGCAGAGATGAGAGAACTGCCTGAAACCAGGGATTCGAGGCCAACCTGGGCAACTTGGCGAGACCTCATCTCTACAATAAATCAAAAAATTAGCCAGGCATGGTAGTGCATGCCTGTGGTTCCTGAGCCCAGCAAGTTGAGGCTGTAGTGGCTTTGAATATGCCACTGCCCTCCAGCCTGGGTGATAGTGTGAGATTCTGACTTCAAAAAAAAAAAAGGATAGAAAGAAAAATATCCAGGCCACTTAGACATATACTTTGTTTAAATTCCCATCATCAGCATTCCAAGAAAGTCTATTCTCATTCATATTTGCTAGCTTCAGTACATATATGAATCATCAGTAACAAAACCGTTACAGCAGGGGTCCCCAACCCCCAGGCCACAGACAGTACTGATCTGCCGCCAGTTAGGAATGAGGCCAGAGGTGAGCAGTGCACCAGCTAGGGAAGCTTCACCTGTATTTACAGCCCTTTCCATTGCTGGCATTACCGCCTGAGCTCCGCCTCCTGTCAGATCAGCAGCATTAGATTCTCATAGGAACACAAACCCTATAGTGAACTGTGCATGTGAGAGATCCAGGTGGCACGTACCTTATGAGAATCTAATGCCAGATGATCTGTGGTGCAGCTGAAGGGGTGATGCTAGCGCTGGGGAGTTGCTGCAAATACAGATTAACATTAGCAGTGAGGTTTGACAGCGCACTCCTCACCCTCTCACCAACCCCCCCACTCCCGCATCCAGAGAAAAATTGTCTTCCACGAAACCAGTCCCTGATGCCAAAAAGGTTGGGGACTACTGTGTTACAGTATAATTTATTTTATTTATTTATTTTTTAAATTTGGAGAAGAGGTCTTGCTGTATTATCCAGGCTGGCTAGAATTCATGAGTCAATTGATCCTCCAGCCTCATCCTCTGTAGCTGAGACTACAGGCTCACACAACTGTGCCTGGCTAACAGTATAATTTAAGCAGCATAGAAAAACATGCAAGTCAGCTAGCTTCTATGCTCCAACACTGTCTTTCCTCTAATAAATATTGATGGCCTCTCTCTTCTTGAACCTTTCCTCCCTGAGGATTTTTCTGTGCAAAGCTCTACTTCCAACTGAATGTTTGTGGGTCACCTCTCTTGCTCTAGACAACCACTATAGAATTCCAAAACAAACTGTTTCAGAAGAAAAAAAACGTCTTTAGGGAGGGTTCTCCTGTACTAGAAACAAAAACAGGGTTAAATGGCAGCAAGAAGAAAGATTGAGAGGGGAACAACAAAAGGAGGAAGAAAAAACGAATACAGTTCTCTTTTGTTTAAAGAAACAAAGTGACCCAAAATAAATTAATTTGCTTAGGAGCCTGCAGAGCTTCCCACAAAGGTGGAAATGATAGGTGATATTTCTACCTCTAGGATAAACAAAAGCAAATTCCTCTTCTCCATGCTAAAAAGATACTTTGGTCACACAGGTTTTACTTATTAATACTGACAAAGCAAGTTGAAAGAGAGTGAGAGAGAAAAAAAACCATCCCGGGGCTATTTTTCTAACATTCTCTCTAGCTTCTACTCTGGTAATCTAGGTTACCCTTTATGTTACCCTGAGATATAAATAGCATTCATTTCCTTTCACAGGTCAGATAGACTTCAATACTTTGTTTCCTGGGTCCAAAGAAAAAAATACTCATAACACATCTCATTCTAAATTTGAGTTACTACAAAGCTGACTCATTTTGAATCAACCATGGGATTAAAAAACCATTTCAAAAGACCAAAATGTGTTTGTTATTACCACTTTGTTAAATTAACCCAGAACAGCCCCCATGGGATTTCTGAGTAGCTGTTTCCTCTCTAGTGTATAGCTCTGAATCCTCCAGAACACAGCTCCAGGTTTTGTGTGCATCCAAGATACAGTGCAAGTGAACACTGTACACAGTGACTTGGATGAGTACCTGCCCTATGCAGGATGCCCAATGGGGTTTTCTGGATAAGAGCACCTTCAGTTGGCTAAACAGAAATAATGAAGCATTTCTCCCAAATCAGAACCCCACTCTTTTTAAGGAAAGAAAAAGCTACACAAAGAAGTTAAGAGCATCCCCCTGGTCAGCTGATGGTTAAAGAGAAGAAAAAAACAAGTTAAGAGCAGTTAAATACGCAAAGGATCAAAAAAGTACCTGCCTACAACAGCTTTCAGTCTAAGTTCAGAGCAAGGTCTTAGTAGTCAAAGAGGCCAAAATAGTCAGATGAACAGGCTACCACTCAGCCAGAAGCATCACATCTCACTTCAACATCACAACTTAGCCCCTAGGCTAAGTCTCCTAGACCGGTCTGAACCTGAAGACATGGATTGCAATCTGAAACTAGCTTCTTTTCATTTTTCTTCTATAATCCCTACCAAGCTCACTCTAACACTCCTGAATTTAGCAGAGACAAATCAAAGAAAAGAATGGACATTTTGGAAAGAATCATCAAAGTGGGATTTTTTTTGTTTCTCTACCAAAGGCAAGAAATGAGAACCAGATTTACCTTTCCCCCAAAGCACCTATGCCCTCAAGGGATTCTTGCCCTTGGCTCACTCTACAAGGACCACTGTCCTGCTGGCAACCCTACACTCTTTCACCTTTACTTAAGTACTGTCAGACTACTCACTCCCGGGTGGGGTGCCTTGTTTCTTCTGTGCATCACAAACAGCATTTTTTTGGTAGACACACACAAAAAAATGCTATGTTGTCTACGCTAATCTTGAACTACTGGGTTCAAGAAATCTTCCTGCCTCAGCCTCCCAAAGTGCTAGAATTACAGGTATGAGCCAACATGCCTGGCCACAAAGAACAATTTTAAGGAGATTTTGCCTTGGGTTTCCCAGGCTATCAGGAAGTGAGTATTTTGATCATATACACATAGGAAGAACCAAATCCACTAACCTATATCCCTTGGGGCCTGGGGAAACATTCAGAGGCAGCCCAAAGTTTCCTCCTACCTGTTGCAGAAGATATAATTCTCCTGAGGTCAGAGAACTCTGGAAACAGAAATGACCCAAACAGAATGGGGACTTGGTGTCATTTCTTACCAATTTTAACAGCAGCAAACTAGCAATTAATAGCATAACACCACTTACTGTGGGTATCACGAAGGGATAAATTCTTTTAAATTCAATATAAAACTAAAACCTTGACAAAAATTCCTCTCCAGCTTGTAGCTAGCTTTTGGTTTCTGAAAGGAACTGAAAGATTCTGAGATCCCTGCCCATTTTTTATCCAGCTAACTGGCTTTAGAGCCGGCTGGCCTGACTTCTCCGGTAAGATGTCCCTCTACTAATAGAATGAAGCACTCCAACAGCCTGGTTCTGGCATGCAGGCTGAGAAGGCAGAACCCACCTCCTTCTGCTGCCATTGGACCTGTCCTCTGCCAACTGTCTGGATTCTGGTAGCCTCTTGTGAGGGGGCAAGGAGAGGATATGCTCTTAAACTCTCACCCGTCCCAGCATCATAGCCCAGAATGTCATGGAAACTGAAGCAATAGCTGTCTCAATACTGGTTCTTTAAGCAAACTCTGAGATAAGCCCGAGAAAGATGGAAACTATCAGCACCATCAGGTGCTTCAATCGCATCTTGTGGTGGCTGCAATGAAGGAAAAGCATAAGCACTGAGGAAGTCCTCTGCCCGCCTAGTTTCCTCTCATTTTACAAACTCTTGTGCAACACGCCACTCCTTCCCGCCTCTCATACTTTCCAAGCCCTGTAAGACCAAGTGGAGTGCCCGCCCACACTTTACATGGCTACTTGACAGACTCTTCATCCCTAGCAAATGACTAAGAAAAGGGGTACCAATGGGTACCAGTGGTCACGCCAAAGCTCTCAAGTAACTGGAGTTTCATGGGCACACTTGGGGAAAAAAATACCAGGAAGCCTTGCAGAAAACCGTGGAGATGGACAGAAAAGACAGGTCTGCAGGTCCTCCTAAAGCACAGACTGACCCAAATTTCAGCCCTAGGCCTCTCACTCTCCAAAAGACAACCTCCTGCTCAACAATTGGCCTTTTGTGCTGCACATTATCCACCAAAAGCTGGGTGGAAAGAAACCTAGTTAGTCCCTTTCACCTGTAACCTCATCTTAGCCTCCAGTCTCAGGGTGGACAGGGCTCTCCTGGACTTCAGCCCTGTGCACGGCCCAATCTATTACAGGGGCTGAGGACTGACATAGAGCCCAACACCACACCATACCTCACCCAAAGGAAGGCTCTGGCATAGGGAGTGCACCGCCCCACACGCCAAAGTCGGAATGTCAGGATCGAAGAGCAAGCTCAGCTGGAGAAATCGAGTCCCAGAGGGGGCGGCGAGTGGCCCGAGGTCACACAGAGAGTCAGGAACGGAGCTTTACTAAAACCCAACCTCTGGATCCCTGAGTGCCCCATTCCCACCCGCCTGCCCTCTTCTCGCCAGCCTGAGAATAACATTACAGAACTTCTGCCCCAGTATTCCCGCCTCGAGGTGGCTAGGACCTTAGTCTTCGCCCCGTGCGTCCACGGGCCAAACCGAACACCCTGCCCACCCAAGAGTCGGGCCCGCCACGGCCCCGCGCCCAACTCTCCAGTCCAGCCTCCCGCCGCCCGTCGGACCTGCAGATTCGCGCTCCCGAGAGCTGGCAGCAGCAGACATTTCCCAGCCGGCTTCCTCAAGCTCTTCATCCCGCCGCCCGTCCAGCGCGCTCAGCTCCCAGACGGGCCCGCCCCCGCGTGGCACCTCCGCCAATCGAAAGCCCTTCTGTTACATCGCCCCGCCCCCAAACAAAACGGAACCCACCCCCCTGAAACTGGGGTTCCTCCAATCCCTACCGCTCCTTCCGAGACGGATATCTGCCTCCGCCAATTGTTGCGCACCCTGGTCCGGTACCTGGGGCCGAGTTCCAACGGCCTGGCGTTGACGACTCCGGGTCGGCGCACCTGTATAGAGACAGCCACAGGAACTCAGGATCCCGGGTGGCAGGATCGAAACCTGTGCAGAAACAAGAAGGACAGACTGAGCAACGGCCTTGAAGAGCCGACTCTGCATGAATGTATTAACTGGAGTCTCCAAACCTGTTTCCCTCGCGCACAGGGTGGGTTCGAAACTCAAATGCTATTAATTGGGTTTTTTGTTTGTTTGTTTGTTTGTTTTGAGTTGGAGTCTCACTCTGTTGCCCAGACTGGAGTGCAGTGGCCGCTCCCGGCCACCGCAGCCTCGACCTGCTGGGCTCCGGCGATCCTTCCACCTCAGCCTTCCAAGTAGCTGGAATTACAGGCATGTGCTACCACGCCGGGCTGATTTTTTTATTTATTGTAGAGATGAGGTCTTGCTGCCCAGGCGGGTCTTGAACCCGTGGGCTCAGGCAATCCACTCACCTCAGCCTCCCAAAGGCGCGGGATTACAGGCTGAGCCACCTAGCCCGGCTCAAATGCTATTAATTGTAAACACAAGAAAATACTATTCTAAGGCAGAGATGCTGCCATTCCTCCGTAACTATGTGCAAAGGTCATGCTCCTTAGCCGGGCTCGGTGACTCAGCCTGTAATCCCAGCGCTTTGGGAGGCTGAGATGAGTGGATTGCCTGAGCCTGTGGGTTCGTGATCCGCCTGGGCAACTTGGCTAGACCTCATCTCTACAATAAATTAAAAAATCAACCGGGCATGGTAGCGCGCGCCTGTAGTTCCAGCTACTTGAAAGGCTGAGGTGGAAGAACCCAGCAGGTCGAGGCTGCGCTGGCCAGGAGCGGCCACTGCCCTCCAGCCTGGGCGACAGAGTGAGACTCCAACTCAAAAAAAAAAAGAAGAAAAAGAAGAACCTGCAAGACACACACCCAGCCAGGTGCAGTTGCTCACACCTGTAATCCTAGCATTTTGGGAGGCTGAGTTGAGAGAATCGCTTGAGCCTAGGAGTTTGAGACCAGACTAGGTAACATAACAAGACCTTGTCTCTACAAAAAAAAAAAAATTAAAATGTTAGCTGGGTATGGTGGTGCACACCTGCAGTCCCAACTACTCTGGAGACTGAAGTGGAAGTATCACCTGAGCTCAAGAGGTCAAGGCTGTGGTAAAGTGTGATTATGCTATTGCACTCTGGCCTGCACAACAGCAGAGTGAGACCTTCTCAAAAACAAAACAAGCAAACATGCACACATGTACACACACACATACACACACAAACCTAAAAGAGAGAAATCATCCTCAACTCCTCTCTCCTTCATTCTCACAGTCAAGTACCAAGCTCTGTTCATCCATTCAACAGATACTTATTAAGTGCCTGGTACATGCCAGGCACTGTTCTACAGGGGATAAAGTTGTGAACAAAAGCACTGCCACCATGGTGTACCTTCACTCTCATCAGTTTGACCTCCTCAGTATCTCTCCAGTCCATCCTTCCTTCCCCATTTGCATCACCAGGGCCCTGGTCCAGGCCTGTTTTTACTCTTGAACCATTACAATACATTCCTATTGATCTCCCTGCTATAGGCTCTCCTTTTCCATTCCAGCTGCCAGAGGTACTTTTCTATTTGCAAATCTTGCCTTATCACTCCCAGCTTAATTCCTTAGCAGCTCTCCACAAGTTATATGGCAAAGTCCAGGCTCTTTGCTGGTTATTTAAAATCCTTCGTGAGCTGCCCTCTGCTGGCCTCTCGGGGCTCAGCTCCCTCCATACCCTCTTCTACCCCAAATTCAGACCCCAGATGACATGTTCTTTCCTTCAACTGTCATGCCCTTTTCCTCCTTGTTGCCTGCCTGGGAAAAAGACTCTTGTCCATACTTCTAGTCTTAGCTTAAGGATCACCTCCTACACCAAGGCTTCCTGAGCTGGTTACAGGGGAGAGGTACTACAAGTTAAGAAAAACTAGAGCAAAACACTCAAGAGCTCAGGCTCTGGAATAGAGTTATCTAGTGCTGCCTAACCCTGCCTCTAAAATTTACTAGCTAGGTACTCAGGCAAGGTTCTTACCCTCTCTGAATCTCAGTTTCCTCATCATTGATAATACCTTGTAAGGTTGTGATAAAATGGTTTTGTTTTGTTTTCATGCCTGGCTTATTTTTTGATTTTTTTGTAGAGACGAGGTCTCGCTATGTTACCTAGGCTGGCCTTGAACTCATGGGCTCAAGCAGTCCTCCTACCTTGGCCTCCCAAAGTGCTGGGATTACTAAAGGTGTGAGCCATAGTGCCCAGCCAGTTGTGGTAAAGTTTAAATGAGATAATGTATTGATAGTTCTTAGAATAGTGTCTATCACATGATGAGTCAACAATGTTAGCTATAAGCCCTCTTGAGCAGAGAAAGGAAACAATTTCTGAGCTCCTGCTCATTTAATTCCCACAATCCCTTGAGGAAGTTATTCATTACATATGGAAGCCAACAAAAACTAAGGTTCAGAGAGGTGAAGTGGCTTGCTCACAGTTACATAGTTAGGGACTGGCAGAGATGGGTTTTCAAATTCAAGGGGTTGTATAGCATCAAAGCCCATGCACTTTGGTATTATTACACTTCCTCCAACTACTACTAATAGTCATAAAATAACTTATCCTTATTTTTATTTATTTATTTATTTATTTTTTAGTTTGAGTCTCATTCTGTTGCCCAGCTGGAGTGCAGTGGCATGCTCATGTCCACTGCAGCATCAACCTGCTAGGCTCAGGCAATCCTTCCACGTCAGCCTTCCAAGTAGCTGGAACTACAGGCGTGCGCTGCCATGCCCAGCTAATTTTTTTTTATTTATTGTAGAGACAATGTCTTGCCATGTTGCCCAGTCTAGTCTCGAACCCATGGGCTCAGGCAATCCTCTTACCTCTGCCTCCCAAAGTGCTGGGATTACAAGTGTGAGCCACTGTGCCAGACTGTCCTTATATTTTAAGATTTATAATTAAATTTCCTACTTCTTTTTTTTTTTTTTTTAGTTGGAGTCTCACTCTGTCTCCCAGACTGGAGTGCAGTGGCCGCTCCCGGCCACCGCAGCCTCGACCTGCTGGGCTCCGGCGATCCTTCCACCTCAGCCTTCCAAGTAGCTGGAACTACAGGTGCACGCTACCACACCCGGCTAATTTTTTATTTTTTTTTCATTTTTTTATTTATTGTAGAGATGAGGTCTCACCAAGTTGCCCAGGCAGGTCTCGAACCCGCGGGCTCAGGCAATCCACTCACCTCAGCCTCCCAAGGCGCGGGATTACAGGCTGAGCCACCAAGCCCGGCTTCCTAAAACACCCTTTTTGAACAATGTATCTGGTCTTCCTATACTTTAACTAAAACAACATATTGCAACAGATTGAATGCAGAAGCAGATACGAGAAACCGACTGTCTTCTTAAAAAAACCAGACATTAGTGAGATTTGCAAACATTGGAAACAGTGTCAGTCCTCTCACTATTTTTTTTATTTTTGGAAATACAGCTTTTGGCCAGGCGTGGTGGCTCATGCCTGTAATCCTAACACTTTGGGAGGCTGAGGCGAGAGAATTACTTGAGGCCAGGAGTTTGAGACCAGCCTGGGCAACAGGGAGACCTTGTCTCTACAAAAAAAAAAAAAATTAGCTGGATGTGGTGGCCCTTTCCTATAGTCCCAGCTACTGGGGAGGCTGAGGTCGGAGGAGCACCTGAACCCGGAAAATTGAGGCTACGATAAGCCATGGCCATGATCATGCCACTGCCCTCCAGTCTGGGCGACAGAGTGAAACCCTAACCCAATAAGAAATAAAATATATGTTTTTATTTTAAAGTTTATTTTAAAATAAGTCTAACTTTCTCATGAGATAAATATCAATAGATATCAATCACAGACATAAAAGATTTCTTTGGCTTATCAATAATTTCTAAGAGTTATAAAGGAGTCTTGGGACAAAAAAAAATTGAGATCTAGTGCTTTGGGTAATCTAATTTTTCTAGCTTAAATATCATTTGAATTTTTA